CGCAAGTCCGTACTTTGACAAACTTCTTCAGAGCAACATGAAAGAGAATCGAGAAGGTATTGTTCGATTTGAGGAGATCTCAGGATCTGTTGTGGAAGATGTTTTGGAATTCATCTACACTGGAACTGTGGATGTGACTCAAGAGAATGCCGAGGAACTGATCGCCGCAGGGAATTATCTGATCATTCCGGGCTTGAAAACAGCTAGCGGACGGTTTTTGGAACGAGAAATGTCGAACATAAACTGTATTTCAACCTTTTACCTTGCTGAGAAATATGAGTGTGACGAGCTTATCACCAACAGCGGGCGTTTTATTCACGAAAACATCGTTACCGTGGCAAAGCTAGATGAATTTTTGCTCTTGGATGCTAAAGAGATCGAGAGGTGGATTTCGTCCGACGAGATTACAGTCAAGGAGGAAGCTGATGTTTTTAAAATCACATTAGACTGGGTAAACCACAGAAAGAGTGAGCGAAAAAGTGCATTTGAAGAACTGTTTGGTCATGTTCGACTCGGTTTTCTGTCGCATGACTCTCTGGAGGATGTCGTGACAAACGAACTGGTGCGTGAGAATTCGGCTTGTGTGAAGCTGGTCATGGATGCTGCCATGAAGATGGCTACCTTTGTTGATGAAGATCATCTCCCGCAGTCACCAAGGAAAGGACAGGAAACACGTGTTATTGTAGCACGTGGTGGCAAGTACACTTTTTGTTATATTCCTGAAGAAGACCTGTGGAGGCGTTTACCAGATGGTCTGAAGGACAAAAAAGCTAGTTCAAATCAGATGATAAAATTCCGTGATCAGTTGTTCTGCTTCGGCAGATATGAAGATACAGAGAGATACGATCCTACTTTTAACGTTTGGTCCGAGCTAAACTTGTACAGGAATTCAACAAAGTTGGTCGTTCTTAAAGGAGAAATTTATGCTGTTAAAGTTGAAAGCAGGAATACTATTATGGAGAAGTACAATGCGAAACGGTGTATGTGGGAGACACTTATCTCATCTCATGAAGGATACGGAGAGAATGCTTGTGTTATTGCAGCCGGAAGTCATCTGTACCTGTTTGGCGGGTGGATTCCACTCAGAGGCGTATACGTCGTAAAAGCTGAGAGATTTGACACCGTGAAAAACAAGTGGGAGGAAATCGCAGACATGCACGAAGGACGAATGCATGCTTTTGGAGTGGCTACCGAAAATAAAATCTTCGTTGCAGGGGGATTACGCGATGGAAAAAAATTAAAAACTTGCGAGATATATAATATATCGACAAATGAATGGCAACTTGTTGCAAACTTGAATGTCCCACGCTTTCATGGTAGTATGGTTTGTCTGAACGGAAAGCTGTACGTACTGGGTGGAATAAATGATAGAAGCCAAAGGGAACTAAGCGTTGAATGTTTTGACCCTGCAAACGGCCAATGGATCCAGGAAACAACCATACCAGTGACAAACACTGACCCACATCAAAATGAAAACACATTCATCGCCTCTGTTCTGAAGCTTTCTAGAGAATTACTAGACAACTTGTGATTTCTTAAAGTTCACATGGCAACCAGGACAATCAGACATAGTTTGATGCTACTTTGGTTTATAGATTTAATGAATGTAACCGAGAAGTTACAATTCATGGAAAAGGTTTTTGAGCAAACTTTAACGTTGGGGCTATTCAAAATTCTCCTGATGGGTTCCGTAACACCCTAAAGTTGCTCAAAAACCTTTTCAGACTTTGGGGCGTATTTTTGCCAAACCTAAGAATCCTGTCACGAAAGAACAACGAACCGACGCTATTTATTCTATTGCGTGCAATGACTGTGATAATGAGTATATCGGACAGACCAAACGTCAGTTTGGTATACGTTTGAAAGAGCATCAAAAAGCGGTCTTCTTTTGCAAAAAAGAAAATTCAGCTTTATAGGAGCACACATGCGTAGCCAACCATAAAATTGGGTGGGATAAGTTTTCACCACTAATCGGCGTTACCACCAGCGCCGTTGTTTGGAAGCCTGGCATATCAACTCCACCCTCGCTCCTTTAAATCGTGATGATGGTGGCTTACTTCCTAACGCCTATTTACGCCTCGTCAGAAACAAGTGCAGCTAATTGGTGAGCGTATAAAAGGACCTCCTGTTGCAGCGTTTAGATCACCCCTGATGAAGGCACTAGACAGGAGTGTCGAAACGTTGGGTCTATGAATTGTAACTTCTCGGTTACATTCATTAAATCTTTAAACCAGAGTAGCATCAAAACAAGTCAAACTTAGGATTGTTAAGCAGTAGTTTCTGAAACACTTTGCAGCTTTAGAATTAGTCATGTTGTTCATAGCTGAAAGCAGACAGAGCCATTCGTTTTTTATTTCCTTAATCTGGAAGCTCACTTAAGGAAAGGCTGGGTCAAATCAAAGGTCCCCTCTTACTAGTTACTGTTTGCTTTAAACCTTATACTTTATTTTATACTCTCACTAAAAATAGCATGTGTAGTCATGTTTACAGCACAGGAATTCTAAGTCGTTAATTATCATTGAGTGTTAAGCACCTAAGTAGCATCAAACCATGTCCAACTTTTGATTGTTAAGCACTTTACAGCTTTAGAACTAATCATGTTGTTTATAGCAAACAGCAGGCACAGGCGTTCGTTTATTATTACCTTAATTTAGAAGCTCAGCAAAGGAAAGGCTGAGTTAAATCAAAAGTCCCTTCTTACTATTTGCCATTTACTTTGAACCTTATACTTTTAAACTCTCTCACTAAAGATAGCATGTGTAGTCATGTTTACAGCATAGGAATTCTAAGTCATTAATTATCATTGAATGTTAAGCACCTTTCACACTGAATGCTTCTCAAGTCAAAACCATAGCACTGCTTGGCGTACCAGGGCCTGGGAGAGTAGCGTTATACCATTTCACGAGTCAACTTCGAGCCTGAGTCAAGTTGGTAGCCGCCAAAAAAATTAAGATAGAACAAACAAACCCGTTCATATAACGAAGTATTCTAGTGACCTTCGTGCAGCAACATCTCTACATGATTTTAAACTTAACATACGTCACCACAGTTTTGAATGAGTTTTAACACGGCATCCT